ACGAGCTGTTGACAGGTAAGGGGTAAGGGCAGGGGGGATAAGGGTAAGGGGGAGAGGGACGGGGGGGATTGGAGGGGGGGAGGGGCCGCTGTTGTGCGGCGGGATGTACCTCCCCCTCCCCCGCCTCCCCCCGAGTTCCCCCCCGGGGGGCACTTCACTTCACGTGACCTGGTGGCGCCCTGGACCCATCCTTGCGAAGTAATGTACGGCAGGTTTAGTTCACCGCATTTTTGTTTTGCCGCAAACCCCTCCCCCGATTCCCGCCTCATCATCCCGAGGTCGCCTCCTTCAAAACCGCCTAACGGTCAGTTCTGCTTTTTGTACACCCTTTCCTTGGCAGCAGCTTCACTCGTTCACGTAGTTCGTCTTTCCCCTCCCCCTTCCCGGTGTGGTCTCCAAAACCCCGCAACCCCCAACTGCCCCCTTTGCCCCCCCCCTCAGCGAGCGGCTCAAGGAGTACTTTGAGGACCATGCCGCGGAGAAGGCCCTCCTGCGCCACGACAAGCCCCTGGCCGCCGCACCTGCCGCCTCGCACCTGAAGCACCTGCCCGCGTACCTCAAGGACCCCACACTCATCACGGAGCGCTCCGAAACCGGCCACCGCGGGCACAAGGGCTCACTCAGCGCCGCCAAGCGCCGCCGCCTGAACGCCGGCCTTGCCAAGGGCCCCTCAGGTGACCCCCTCAAAACCGCAGGTGGTGGTGGTGGTGGTGGTGGTGGCAGCGTTTTTGTCCGCGCGCCCAAGAAGGGCAGCAGCCATCTAAATGAGGAGCTGACGGAGATGGAGAAGGCGGCCATGGCGGCGGCCAAGAAGGAAGCCAAAAAGCGCAAGAAGATGGAAGGGCCGGCGCCGGTGCCGAAGTTTAATGTGCGAAAGCGGCGGCGGTGATGATGAGCTTCGGTTTCGGTTGCGTTTTGGGGGGTTTGTGGGGTGGAGGGAGATAGAGGGGGGATTCGTGGGGCTGGGAGAGTCTGGGGTAGGAGGTGTTGGGAGGAGGGACTAGGGGTAAGGAGACCGAAGAATGTGTGTGTGTGAAAGGGGGGTAAGAGGGGGTAGCCCTGTCGACCTAGGCCGGGGAGAAGAGGTGAGGTGGAAGGACTGCCGCCTACTGTGTTATATTTAGCTGTGGGCCGCGATACGTGGAAATGCGAGGAGGAGGAGGAGGAGGAGGAGGAGCTATCACATGAGCAGCTTGTCGCTTGTGTGTGTGTGTGTGTGTGTGTGTCCTTAGGCTTCCTGGTCGGTCCCTACGGGGCGTTATTGGGCCCCTGTTCTGTGTGTGTGGGGAGGGGGGAAGTGCGGGCGGGCGTTACCTGGGGACATAGTTCCCTCCCGCGCCTCGGCGGACTGCGCGACCACCTGGGCGCGTTTCTCCGCCAGGGAAGCAGCTCCCTAGCTCGCTGCCCGGCTGGCTGGCGGGCTGGCTGCGACGGCGTTTCCTTCTAGTGGAGATGGCTGGTGGTGTGTGGGGTTGCGTGCGGGGGGTGAATACGCGTGCAAATGCTAGCACTGGAAAATCAGAGCCAGCAGGTGATGATAACAATGATAACAATGAGTAATAAGTCGCCGCAGTACTCGCAGATTAGATCCGCAGCAGCTCACCATGTTCACACAATCTGCATCGTATGTATGTATGTATGTATGTATGTATGTATGTATGTATGTATGGGTTTACGAGCTTGGTTACTGATGGGCCGCATCCGTATGTCGACACTGACAACCCCCCCACCTAACGCACACACGCACAGACCCGCGCGGTGGCCCCCTTCCGAGCTTCCCCTCCTCGTCACAGCGACCAACACCCACGTCCCAGGGGCAATCATCTCAAGTGCCTGCGGTAACGCCGCAAATACGGCACCACCACCACCAGGGGAGACAGAACTCCCAAGCACTACGTACACCCCGCAAGCACACACACACACACACACATTCTCACGCCACACTCTCACGCCACACACACACACAGACATACAAATGCGCTCTTCCCAAGCACTAATCCATCCACGGCATCGCCCCCCCCATCGCTCACACCCTGCGAGATCCCGTATCCCAAGCCCCCCCATCAAACCCCTTCAACACTCCCAAACACCTCGGGTGCCTCTCCCCGGGCGCCCGGGCCCCCTTCTTTTCTAACTAATACTCGAGACACACACATACACACACACAGCAGGCCCCCGAACACCAACCTTAGGTGCGCAGGGTCCGCTGGATCCACAGGTCAGAGCCGTCACCTGCTGCTGCTACTATTACTGCTGCTGCTGCTGCCAAATCGAGATACCTCCCCCCCACCTGGCGTCTCAGTACCTTTACCACCATCACCCTTTACCCGAATTTCCCAGCACGGGAACCTTCCATCCCGCTCCACACCACTTCGCATCCTACCAACCCCCAGCCAGCCGCACTACTGCCTTCCCCCCTTCCCCTTCCGCCCTTCCCCTTCCCCCTATTTCACAGCAAACACTCCCCGACACTTCTCCCCCTTGCCTCACGTCCTCGGCAGCACCACCGCCTCCGGCAGCGCCACCGCCCGGGGCTGAGCCCCATCCTCGCCGCCTCCCCCTCCTCGCGTCAAGTAAAACACGGCGCTGTTGACCAGCAGAAAGCTCCCCCCAGGGGCTCGTACGTGGGGCACTCGGTGCTCGCCGTACTGCTCGTGGATGTGGCCGCACACCCACAGCAGTGGGGGCTTTTGGAGGGCCTAGGGTTTCGGAGGGGGGGAGGCCCAGCCCCCGGGGAGGGGGGGGAGGGGGGTGTGGGTCCGGATAGGACGAGCACCCGGGGGGGCGGAGGTTGGAAGGAGGGGGGGGTCCGGGGTGTCTTATCCCATCATCGGGGGGTCCGGCGACCTCAACCCACCAGTGGGTGCGCCTATCAGCACAGCGCCCCCACCCCCCTGCAAGCTCCGAAAGGCACCAAGTCCCCGTGGATTTCCCGAGAGCCCCGAAAACCACGAATACACACACATGATTTATTGTCCGTTCACGCTTCTGAAAACTCTGCCGCACATGGCTGCACATGTCACATTTTCCCTCGGGCCCACACACGAACACGAGTACAGTGCATACATACATACGTACATACATACCTACGCCGACACAGGCACGCACACGCTCAAACTGCTCACCTGTACGGCACGCAGCAAGCCCACGTCGCCACGATGCCTCCCGCCGGTTTTATCAGCGATGCCGTACGGTGGACCGTGCGTGAGTATAATGTCCACGTCAGCGTTGGGGGGGAGCAGGGCCGACCAGTACGCGAAGGACGCTTCCCTGTCCAGGTCGAGCTGGCAAGACAACCAGCCCAAGGCAGCAACCGGGGATGGCAGCAACATCACAGGCACAGCCGGGCCGGGCCGGGTGGGGTCGGATGAGGAAAAGGAGCGGCCCGAGGAGGAGGTGGTGGTGGTGATGGCGGATGTCATGTGTATGGTGGAGGAAGTGGCTCCTAAGGATGGCGATCCAAAGCAATGTGGGTCAGTGACACGGCTACCGGTGACACATACGGCTGCAGCACCCCCGGACAGTCACAAGCTGGGAACACAGCAGTCCCCCCCCCAAACCCCATCCGCAGATCACCCCTGCTGATGGATGCTGCCAGCTCTCCCTCCCCCCATCGCCTGAAGGCCCCTGCACCTGGGCGTGAGCGAGTATGCGAGTGGATGTGGGCTGGGGTGGGCCTTGATAGCTAGGTGGGTGGGTGGAGGTGGGTGGGGTGGGGTCCTACTGGGCCCTGGGTTCGGGTGCGCACACCGGCGGGCGGCGTACTCCCCCCTTTCCCCCTTCCCCCCTTCTGCTCCTTGGCAGCAGCTTCACTCGTTCGTGGTTCGTCTTTCCCCCCTCCCCACCACCAACACACACACACACCAACACACCAACCTGATAGGCTCCGGCAAAGCGGGGAGTGAAGGGGGACGCAAAGATGCGGTACCTGCAACGTAGCGGTTGGTGGTTGGGCGGTGCTCATGGTAAGGCCCGGGTTCGATACTCCTTAGTGGCGCTCCAAGATCTGAACTGACCCTCAGTCCGCCAATATCCCCACCTGTGATTTCCCTTGCCCTCATTCCCCCTTCCCCCCCNT